CTCAGAAACCCAAAGGGTTTTCTATGTATTGGAATCAACTTGATGGTGATGAGTTTGTGTTTTTAGTATAGTAGAGCTGATAAGGGACAAGTTATGGTGGCTTCTTGGCCACAGCCAGCTACCTGGAGGGACCAAGTAGTTGGACCTGTGGGCTTAGGACCATGGTCACAGGGGGGGGACATCAAGCTCAATTGGCATAACATACTACACAAAAACTGTTCTACATCCCACTGTTTATAGTCACTTTGGTGAGCAGCAGCTGAGGTCTTAAAAGCTTGTAAGCAGCAATCTAGATGCAACAATGGGTCTCTTCTCATCCAGAGCAAAGAAGAATAAAGAAAACCAAAGGCACATGGAAACAATTAGTCCAAGGAACTAGTAGAGACCATTTGATCCTCATCCTATATGACCAGAAGAACTAGATGGTGCCTGGCTAGCATTGTCAACTACTCAAAGGCGGATTGGTGTAGGAGATCCTAGATAGAGTGGGAGAACAATGTGGAACAAAACTCAAAATCATAAAACAAAACAAACAAAAAAACAGATTTACTGGTCTTATAAAGCCTGGTGAGACCCCTGAGACTACGGCTCCTAGTTACCCTTCAGGTCTAGAACTGAACTCACTCCAGAAACTTCCAGCCAAACAATAGACAGGTATATAGAGTGAACGTTTACATCAGGTAGATACACTCCTTGGAGAGATCAATCATAAGAGAATCAAAAGGCACATGGAGATAGCTCGAGGGGCAGGAGTGCATGGGAAGGAAGGACACAGGGAAGAGGTAACTATAGGGTGGAAGTGAGAAGAGAGGTGTTACATTGTGGGGAATTGCAGTCAATGTCATGAACCGAAATGTGTATGAACTGCTGCATGGAAAATTAATTTGCTCTGTAAATTTTCACCCAAATCACACACACACACACACACACACACAGATTTACAGCTTTGAAAACCCTATGGGGCAGTTCAACTCTGTCCTATAGGGTTGCAATGAGTTGGAATTGACTCCATGGCAGTGGGTTTGTTTTGCTTTGTTTTTAACGCTGGAGTTCCTGGTACTTGTGGAGGAAGGGAATGCTGGAGCATGTGTAAGGCAGGAACTTGTCAGATAAGGAAAATTCAAGTATTTCCACTAACTGAGAGCAATAGAAAAGTAGCAAGACTGCACCCTATCAAAGGCAAAAAACTTGTTCAATTTGGAAAAACAAGGCAGTCCCATCGAATTCTGGCATTCCCAGGTTTCACTATAGTTTGCAATGCATGGATACAGTCCCACATGACATAAAATTTCCCACGTCCCTCATGACTTTTAAATAATCTAGCAGACCCTTATACAGATGAAAAATCATTTTGTATTAAACAAGCCTAGATATTAAATCCCGTGTACATAGAAACAGAAATGTATTTTTTCATCCTTACATGTCAACTAAATTTCCAGGCCTGCCATTACTGCGTAAATTGAAGAATGATTGCATCTTTTATAATTGAAGATTTACTAAAATTTGTTCATCCTTTCAGAAAATCTCATCACCTATGGAGGCAACTGCTTTTCTAGCTGAGCATTGCCAATGATTCTGCCTCTAAGTCCCAGTTCTGAAAACTTCAGTATGTATTCTTGGGTATTCTGGCCCAAACATACTGAACCACCTATTTTTCAATTATACATTATTTTATTTCTTAATTTTTCCATTGGGCAATACGTTGATTTCTAAACGTTATGCACGTGGGTGGTTAAATTACCTATGGATTCCGTTCCCGGATGATGGAGGGAGGGGCTATAAACTATTTATTAGGAAAAATTGGCCTTGGGGCTGGTGAAAGCCCGGAACCGAGCGGTCCTCCGCACACCAGGGGCCGCTGTGGCGCCGCGAGGCCGCAGGCTCGCTCTCGCGTGGCCGCCCCGCCTCGGGCCCCCGGGCCGAGTGGGCGGGCACGGCTGCGCCCAGGTCGCAAGGCGCCCTTCGACCAGCAGCGCCCGGGGCGGGCGGGTATAAATGGAGCGGTGGCTCCCCCAGCCGCCTCTCTCCGCCCCGGGTCGCCGCTGCCTCCGTCGCTTTCGGGCCCAGCGGCCTGAAGAAAAAAAGAGAAAAAAATAAAAAAAACCCGAAAACGCTTTAAAAATCTTAAAAAAAGGAAAAGAAAAGGCGAATCTTCCTCGGAACACCCGCAGGGAAGTCACTTTTGCACGCTTCCGGCCTGCCCCGCGCCCGCCGCCGCACTTTCACGTCTGTCTGTCTCCGTCTGTCGGTCCGGTGGTGAGCAGCCAGTGCCCGCCCGCCTGCCGCCCGCTCGAATCTGTCCTCGTCCACGCGTCTCCGTTCCGATCCTCGCGCGTCCGTCTGTCCGGCCTGCCGCCTGGCCCTACCCGTCTGCGCGCGCCGCGTGGCAGCCTCCGTGCCCGCCCGGCCCCGCGGCCCCACCGGTTGTCCTCGCTCCCCGCGCGCCGTCCTCCCCGCGCACCACGTGTCCGCGCTGCCCTTCCCGGAGCCCAGCGTGGGAGGCGGCTGCGCGCACGCCTGCCTGGGGCTTGCAGAGTCGGCACAGACAAATATTTTGTTTCCCTCTTCCACTGGCTGTTGTAATTTTAAACCGCCAGGAGCCCGAGGCCTATATTTATAGAGAAACGCGTGTCCCGGAGGCCGCTGTGTGTTGCCTCTTGAAGAATTTTTAGAATTTGGAAGGGGATTCCCCATTTTAATATATTTTTTTGAAATTTGAGGTTTTAACCAGGACAGCTGCAAATTACAAACTCCCAGGGAGGGCCATATTGTTTTTTTGAGCACCTTTTGTCTGAGGTTTTGCAGAGTCTCAGATGAGCTGTCCCTGAAGTCCTGTTTTCCGTCTTCTGTGTACCAGCCTACTCCAGAGCCTCTTGGCTTCACTCTTGCCACCTGTGAGCCGCCGCGCGGGCCACGGCTCGGGGAAGAGCCTCTTTTGTCCTGTGGTGATCCCTAGAAGAAGTCCTCCTGGCGGGGCTCGGGGTAGTGGGGGGCGGGGAGATGAATGCTGCAGCCAGCAGCTACCCCATGGCCTCCCTCTACGTGGGTGACCTGCACTCGGACGTCACCGAGGCCATGCTGTATGAAAAGTTCAGTCCTGCGGGGCCTGTGCTGTCCATCCGGGTCTGCCGCGATATGATCACCCGCCGCTCCTTGGGTTATGCCTACGTCAACTTCCAGCAGCCGGCTGACGGTGAGTAGAAGCTATGTCCACAAAACTGGGACCCCAAAGAACCCTGGGAATCATCTAGGCAAGCCCCTACCGCCATGGAGAGGAGCATCAAGACAGCATGTTGCCCCAAAGGCTGAACCTACTGCTGTGGTGAACATGGGGCCTGGCATCAGATTTCTTCTATCACTTGTTAACTGTGTGACCTTGGGCTAATAAGTGGTGGAGGTGGGGTTGTAACCTAGGAAGACTGCATAAAGGGGATCAGAGGGAAGTCACTGTCATTCCATTGTGTGTGTGGTCCTGTGGGGCTGGGTTTGTGCCCTCAAAGGCCTGCCAAAAAGGTAGGATGATGAAAAATTTTAGATTGCAAAACTAGCTGGCCTGTCCTCCACCCGTGCCTTGGCCTGACTCTCTGGGTTTTGTGCTGATAAGGGGTCTTAGGGGCATTTAGGAAGCCACGGAACTATTCTGTGCAGGGATTTGTATTAGTGCCACCAGAGCAGCATGTGCAGCCAGTAGGCAGGCCAGCTTCCCAGTCTGCACTCTTTGCTGAGGAGAATGGTGACCAGTTAGTCCGGGAAAGTGCCACCTGAAATTCCACTGGGTTGGAAGCTGGGACTGGTGAGCATTATCACCTTAGCTCTGCACAATGATTGATATTTTGAGTTCATGCTATTTGAAGGCAGTAGGACTTCTGTGAAGGAAAAGGAACAGCAATTGGAGGCTAACTTGGGACTCCAGATGCAGTGCTCTGCCTGCCCCAGATTGGAGCAGTGGAGAGGTGTGCTGCAGGCGTGGCAGGAGTGAGGCAATAAGAAACCTAATCGGGCTGCACGTGACTCCAGACTAAGAGGGAACAACTGCAGAGACCATTACTGAGAGAAACAAGCCATTCTGTGGCAAAGTCCCCACAGTTCACTGTTGATGAGATAGAGAAAATGTAACTTGCACAAGGATGCAGCTGAGACCAGGGAATTGGATTTGTGTTCCTCTGAGTTGACTCTTATTTGTGGCCACAGAAGCACAAGGAACGTAGCCGAGTATGGACTTTTTAGCGGGGGAATAGTAGGTGCGTACACTACCAGTCATCTGCCTTCTTGCCTCTTCTGCACAAAAGTCCTGTCACTTAGAGACAGTAGCAGAAGCCATTGGTCAGTGTGTCTGCCAGCACATACCTCTGCAGGACCTCTCCTTCTATAAATAAATGCACCCAGATTTGTCAGACTATGCTGACCGCCTTCTGCAGTGCTGGCTTGAAATAGTTGGGTTGTGTTGAAATGGGCTCCTTTACTGCTAATTAGTGTAGTGAGTTTGGGGTCTCAGGCTGTGGAGCTCAGATAATCTTTAAAGCAAACTCTTGTACCTGGACATTTTCTGTTCTGTATCTCTCTCCCCTTATCCCCCACCTCCATTCCTTCTGAGGAAGGTATTTGAAAACTGCAAAAAAGATACTCCCTTGGCTGACTCTGCCTCTGAATTCATGGAGGGAAAAAGTTAGGGAGTTGTTGCTGCAAAGCAGGAGAAAACTTCCCCAAATCTAGCCCTCTGAATCCCCTCAGTGGAGGAAGTTCTAGGTGGTACCATTACATTAGTGAAGTCACTGCTATGAAATAATAGTGTAATCAGGTCTGAATGTCCTTATTGCTACCAGTGAGAAAAAAATATTCTGTTTAGAGGATGATTATTTTACTTTCTGGTCCTTTATATGGTCTCCATGGTACAAGCATTGACTTGGTTGGCAAACTAAGAAAGGGTCCCAAGGCACTGAAGAGCTGTTTTTGGGCACCTGGGCAGGTGAAATCCTAAAATTCTATAGAACTCAGGTTACTGCTTCAGCTGAGCACCTATGCAATGCCCAGGTTCAGAAGACTTGGAACAACTAGGTGCAGGACCAGGAGCTCTGGTAGCATAGTGCCTAAGACACTTGACTGCTAACCAGAAGGCTGGCCGTTCAAACCCACCAGCCACTTCTCGGAAGGAAGGTTGGGCAATCTACTTCTGTAGTGATACCTCCTTGGAAACCCAAGGAGGGGTCGATGGCACATAACAACAAGGTGCAGGACCTACCTAGTTGCACTATTGCAAGAAGGATTGGCAGTTTCATCCTTTGTGTCTTCATAACACAAGTCGCTTAAAAAGTAAAAACCAAACTCATTGCTGTTGAGTCAATTTCGACACATAGCGACCCCTCGGATTTCTGAGGCGGTATCTCTATGGAAGTAGATGGCCCAGTCTTCCTTCTGAGGAGTGGCTGGTGGGTTTGAACCACCAGCCTTCTAGTTAGCCGTCAAATGTCTTGGGCACTATGCCACTATGTGAGGTTAGTTTGAACTTGGTGCCAGGAAGCAAGCCACTTAGATTATCTTGCTTCTTAAACACCTTACCCCACAAGGACACATACCCAAACAGGGATCGGACATTTTGTCATGAGGCAGAGTGATTAGCTGGAACTTATTTTCTACCCTCAATAAGAAATTGGGCTAGAAATATCTGATATCAGTTGCCTTTTTATCAGAGTGATTACCTTGAAAAGTGCCGGGTAATTTGTGACAGCCTCCTACGTGAGGGTGAAGTTTTATTTTTCCCAACTGAAATGTGTTTCTGTTACAGCTGAGCGTGCCCTGGACACGATGAATTTTGATGTGATTAAAGGAAAGCCAATCCGAATCATGTGGTCACAGAGGGATCCCTCTTTGAGAAAATCTGGTGTTGGAAACGTCTTCATCAAGAACCTGGACAAATCCATAGATAACAAGGCACTTTATGATACTTTTTCTGCTTTTGGAAACATTCTGTCCTGCAAGGTAAACATTGATTAAACGATTTCAGCAGAATATTGAATCTTGAAAACACGGTAAATACCAGATGGGGAAGTGCCTTGAAACTGGGCAACAGCATGGTAATCTTCAAAATGCTGGCAATGGCTCTGAATCCTACAAGTTCCCCATTGGTGATCTTGTGCCACAACTCAGCATACCCATGGGTGCTTTTGTGTCTGTTTATTCTCTCAGCTTGAAAACTCCTTCCTGGTTTCTAGTGTTGTTACGTGCCATCAAGTCAGACCCAACTCATAGGAACCCCTCCTTGGGTTTCTGAGGCAGTATCACTACAAAAATAGATTGCCCAATCTTCCTTCCAAGGAGTGGCTGATGGGTTTGAACTGCCAGCCTTCTGGTTAGCAGTCAAATGCCTTAGGCACTATGCTACCAGAGCTCCCTTCTAGTTTTAGAAGTCCTCAAAAATTTGTTTGGTGGGAGATGGTGAACCAGAGAAAGTGCCTTTGGGCTCCTAGAAGTTTTACGTAATCACTTTAGAAACATAAATTTTCCCTCTTCCCTATCCACACCTACATGGGTGAAGCACTTTGTGAACTGTGGTGTGGCTGTCATTTTACATATCTGACCGCACCAAAACCGAAATCAAACCTGTTGCTGTCGAGTCGATTCCGACTCATAGTGACCCTATAGAACAGAACAGAACTGTCCCATAGGGTTTCCAAGGCTGTAATCTTTATGGAAGCATACTGCCACATCTTTCTCCCATTGAACAGCTGGTGGGTTCAAAACACTGACCTTTTGGTTGGCAGCTGAGCACTTAACCACCAGGCTCCTATGTATCTTGACTCCACACCAGACTGAAATTTTATCATGGGCCTGGAAAACGGTTCACCTTTCTGCTGCACTGTGGCTTGCAGAATTTCTAAATTTTTTTTTTTTTTTAATGAAAGTGAGGTGGGAAAAAAACTATTTAGAGTTGAAGCAGGCTAATAGTAGCTTCTATTTGTAAATGGAGCACTTCCTAGTTGCCTGGCACAGTGCTAAGTGCTTTACTTACTACAGTCTGCTACCTTTTGCCCATGGATGGGCTAGTGACTTCTCAACCACAGAGAGACCCCTGAGCAGGAGACTGAGTTTCTCGCATCTCTGGAGCTGGCCAGTGGTGCTAAAGTGGCCTGCCTTGTCTTTGATAGGTGGTGTGTGATGAGAACGGCTCTAAGGGTTATGCCTTTGTCCACTTCGAGACCCAAGAGGCTGCTGACAAGGCCATCGAGAAGATGAATGGCATGCTCCTCAATGACCGCAAAGTGTGAGTGTCCCAGTCCGGAGCAACAACCATCGCATGAGCCAGCCGTGGCCCCACCTCGGTATTAACTGGCACACACAAGGCGGCTACTGGTTCTCTCGGCCCAAGTGTGGCCTGCTCCTACCTCTCCACTCCAGGGCTGGTGAGTCTCCCTGCCCAAGCCGTGGCAGCCCTTTTGACTCGCCAAGGTGGGCTTCCTGCCCATGCCATGGCCTGCCTGCCGCCTCTCCCTTAATGGCATTCATCTGTGGGTTTTGTGAGCTTGGGCAACTGGGGCTGGCTGGAAGGCAGCTCTAAGCCCATTCTGAGCAGGGGTCTTGGCCAGTGGCAGAGTGGAGAGGGCCCTGGACTGACCAGGAGCTGTATACTAGCCATGTGACCTTGGCCTTCCAATGACTGAAGTCTGTCCATGGATCACTCGCTAGTTGATTCCAAATTATTATGATTCAATGGCCTAATACAAAGCTGGCTCCACAGTAATAATTTAGTTACAATGAAAAATCCTGTTGGCAGAAGACACTGTTAATAGCAGACCTTACTGCTTTGGTGTGGTTATTGCAGACTGAACAGAATGGGGATTTAAAATTACGTGGAGAGAAGACAGGACAGTACGTCTTGCATTAACAAAAAACTTATCTGTCCTTTGAGCTGTTGAACAGATCAGGGGATGGGTTGCATTGATATGTCTATATGCTGCAGTCAGATGTTTCACAGGTATCGCTAGAAAGAAATAGTAAACATTTTGCAGTATATGGATACATTTTCCTATTTTGTGTGAATAATACCAAAGATGACTAGAGTGAAAATAGCAAAGGGTAATTCTTGATTCGTTCCAACAATCTCACTCCTCCCAGGATTAACCACTGTTCATAGTTTGGTTTATATCCTTCCAGACCTTTTCTATGCATTTACCTAGATGCACAGAAATGAGTGTTGTAAAAACATGGTCATCAGGTTCCTTCACGAAGGCAGTGTGATGTGGTAGGAGTAGCCCTGGTCTGAGCCAGGAGCCCTGGGGCTGGTCCTCACAGGAAAAGTCCTGCCTCTTGCTTTCTGCTGGGGAGTTGGGGTATCTCTGAGCTTGCTCTTTTGATGGTTGGATGGGGGCTTGTGTCTTAACTTCTGTCGGCCTTTAACCCATATTCCTTTGGGCCCCTAGAAATCATAGTTGGTCCTTCTGGGTGATCACTGGTTTTCATGTTTTTTTTTTTTTTTAATAGGTTCGTGGGCAGATTTAAGTCTCGTAAAGAGCGGGAAGCCGAGCTTGGAGCCAAAGCTAAGGAATTCACCAATGTTTATATCAAGAACTTTGGGGAAGAGGTGGATGACGAGAGTCTGAAAGAGCTGTTCAGTCAGTTTGGTAAGTCAGGATCCTTTGTCCAATATCTTCCCTTTCAACGTCAACCAGACCTAGAATACCATCTGTTTTTATTTATTTAAGAGACAGGGCACCCAGACCCAGAAAATACTTTGCATGACAAAGATTACAAGGTAGATAGGAATAGGACCTCAGGCCTCATCTCTTGACTTTATCCTGCTTCATCTCAGCCCAAAGGCCATCTCAGCTGCTTAGAATTAATTAGAAGGTCCTGTATGGTGCCTCTCTCTGTCTTGAAGGCCAATGTGGGTTCAGCAAGAAGTTGGCTTCAAGTGGGTTCCTAGAAGCATTCTCTGCTTAAGCTATAGCAGAGTGGTGTTACTAATAGTTCTGTCCTTTGGTAATAGGTAAGACCCTAAGTGTCAAGGTGATGAGAGATCCCAGTGGGAAATCCAAAGGCTTTGGCTTTGTGAGTTACGAAAAACACGAAGATGCCAATAAGGTGAGAGTACCACCAGGGTTTTTAGGAGGTAGCCCCCTTAGGGTGTGGGGGCAGGGCCTTGTTAGCACACAGCAGAATAGAGCTGGAATGGTCCCAGTGTCTGTCTAGTTGTGGCTACACAGTTGCTGTGCTCTGGAATGATCTGAGTGATTCCACATGTCATCATGTAACTGTTTTCAAAGCAGTTGGCACCTACCTGTGGCCTCAGCTGTCAGCTGTTTAGCCCTGTGGGATGAAAGAATAGGACAAGTGTTTGTTCCTACTCAGAGGTGAGGGAACTAAGGCCCAGAGTGGCTGATTTGATTACAGCACAGCAGCTATTTACTTGCAAAGTATTTGTGTGCTAAACCCTTGACCTATCTTACCTCACTTAATACCCACAAAAGAAACTGAGTTGTTCAGTGATAGTCAGATTATAAACCTAGGCTCATCTCTCCCATGCTTATATTTAAACAACTCATTTAAATACTAATCCCACTTCACAGATGAGGAAGTCTGGATTTGCTTACTAGACTTCAGAGATTGAATGACCATAATTTTCAGGCATACAGCAAAGATTTCTCTCCCCCAGAATAGTAAGTGGGACTTGTAGACCTCCAAACCACCTCCAGACCCCCTGCTTTTACGTCTTGATTTAAAGACATCTTTTTCTTCTCTAGGCCGTGGAAGAGATGAATGGAAAAGAAGTCAGTGGAAAAGTCATCTTTGTAGGCCGTGCACAGAAGAAAGTTGAACGGCAGGCTGAGTTAAAACGGAAATTTGAGCAGCTGAAACAGGAGAGAATTAGTCGATATCAGGTGAGAGGTGGTCTTGGCCCAGCCTACCACAAGATTTACTCTGAAATACTTGCAAAGCCCTCTTGTGGTGTAACAGGCATTCTCTTTGAGGCTTTGGAGTCTGTTCTTCCTTACCTTCCTCCAATGAGTATCCAGTTTAAAAGGATATACCTACCAAATACGGCAGTGGTTACAGAACAGGGATAGAAAGGAGAGCCTCAGCCTATTGTTCTTAGTCATGTAGGCCCCTTTTACTTATGACTCCCTCCCTCATTTTATTTGGAATGGTGGCAAGACCCCTGCTAGGGCGAAGGGAAGACCAAGTCAGCCAGAACAGCTGTGGGGAAAGGTAACATGTGACTCCACTGATGGTCATACAGAGTCTTAGGGCAATGACTTCTCAACTTGTAGCCTGCAGGGCTTGTTAACATGGGTCGCTGGGCCCCAGTCCCAGAGTTGCCAATTCATTAAGTTTGGGGTCTGGCCTGAGCATTTGCATTTCTAACACGTTCCCAGTGATGCTGCTGTTGGCCTGGTGACCACACTTGGACAACCACTGTCTTTAGGGGATATATAAGGTACAGAAGCACAATTGACAGTGTTCCTTCTCTTTTAGGGGGTGAATCTTTACATTAAGAACTTGGATGACACCATCGATGATGAGAAGTTAAGGAAAGAGTTTTCTCCTTTTGGGTCAATCACCAGTGCTAAGGTACTTGGGGACTGGAAGCAGGGAAGTGGTATTCCATTAGAGGGTATTTATTGTTTCAATGAAGGGATAGCACTTAAATCGTGCTCACTTCTGAGAGTAGCTACCACAGCACTCTAGTGAACTCTTTGCATGCAGTTACACATCTGTGTGGCTCTGAAGAATGACATTTCATCAGGTTAATGTGGTATTGCTCTGGTGGTGTAGTAGGTAAGACATTTGGTTGCTAACCAGAAGGTCGGCGATTCAAACCCACCAGCTGCTCCACGAGAGAGATGAGGCAATCTACTTCCTTAAAGATTTATAACTGGAAACCCAATGGGGATTGCTATGAGTTGGAACTGACTTGATGGCAGTGAGTTTGGGTCTTCCAAATACTGGGGTATGGAGATGAATCTGATCCATCCACTCCAGGCCAATCCCCCCGAGCACCTGAATCTTTCCCATTCTCTGCTGCCTTGTGCTGGTGTGGGGACAGATGGTGCTACAGTATGAGCGGAGGAAATCCAGACGGGTTGTTGCCATTTGCCTTGGGGCCTGTCTCTACAACTCTGCCACACTCTTCTTCCTGAGGGAATTTGAGGACTTTGGAGTTGGGAATTTCTACCTTGGTCTTTGAAAGGAGGACAAGTGGGTGGAAAGTTTGTTTTTCCATATTTGGTAATGTGCATCATGCTTGGTTTTCTTGAATAGTTGTATTAACTAAGTTTTCAGGGTAGCCATTCCATTTTAAAGGTAAAGGATGCGAGTCCTTGAGCAAGAGAAATGTCGTTTACACAGGACAGTGTGCTGAATGTCCTTGGCATTTGGGAGTGTTGCAGAAACCAATGGCATCTGAAAGGTTTGGGTCATAACGTGATGCAGTAGCAGAGTTCATGAAGTCCTTTAGGTGAAGAAAAAGGCCAGATTGAGCTGGTAAAGGTATGAGGTCCCTGCTTAAGCCCTTATCTATGCCACTCAGAACGTAGAGGTATTGAACAAAGAAGATGATCAGTTGCAGTAGGGAGAGTTGACCAGAGGCACAAGACAACCCTGTGGGGTTCCCCCTAGTTCCCTGTCTTCCCTTGTTCATTAGCATCATAGTCTAGCTAGCATTTGCAAGAAGAGTGTACAAGAGCTATATTATAATCACAGCCCCATTTTTAAGAACATGGTGGTGCATTATTTTCATAAACCTTTACTGGCGTATCTCATCACTTGGTATAGAGTTGTTGAGCAGATACATGTCTTTAGGTCCATGTCCTCAGCTCCAGGAGGTTCTCCAAGCAGTGAGCTAAGACAAAGTGGTGCTAAGCCCATATATTCCTCGTGGTACCAGTGAGATTCTAGGAGTTAAGTCAGAGAAAGTAATCACTTTTTCAGGTGAGGAAAAAAGCCGTTAGTGAGTGACTGCATTATTAGCAGATTATCTGAACCAGTAGACCTGTGGCTTCGTAGCTATTTGCCTTAGAATATAGCATGGAAATTGAGTCTCAGTGCAAGTGAGTGATTTGTCAAGGTGGTATAGCTTGGTAAAAGCAGAGCTGGGACTAGAACTCAGGCTGCCTGTCTTCAGCTCATCATCTTCTGTTGTTGCTCCCAGTGAATTAGTGGTGACATGCATTTGGTGACTCTTGTTATGTGCTGTTGAGTTGGACCCGACTCATAGTGACCCCTCCTTGGGTTTCCAAGGCAGTATCACTATAGATTGCTCCACCTTCCGAGGAGTGGCTGGTGGGTTTGAACTGCCAGCCTTCTGGTTAGCAGTCAAGTGCCTTAGGCACTATGCTACCAGAGCTCCTTTTGGTGACGCTATGGCTCCCTAACTCCTGCTAGCATGTGGTCTTTCAAAAGTGTATCCTAATGTCACTAAGAGTTGGAAATATTTGAGCAAGGTCTCAAGCAGATGAGTTCCACAGATTGTTTGACACTACTGTCAAGATCTCTTGTGGCTGTCTGGGGGGTGAGATAGCTATCTTTTTATGTATCAGAAAACTTTTTGTGTTCCTGGTTCAATCACTAACCATATTATAGCATCTGGGAACCTTAGATCACCTGGAATGCCTAGGTTCTACCCTCAGAGGTTGCCTTACTTGGTCCTGGGGTATGTCCTGGGTTTGAGATTGAGAGTCTCTGACCCAGACATTGTAGCTTACAACAGAGCCCAGATTTTCTAGCTCTTCTGAAATAACTGCCTTTCTAGCCCCTCACTATGTGTATAACTTTTTTCTTAAGGTGCTGCTCTTGTTTTGTAGGTGATGCTGGAAGATGGGAGAAGCAAAGGATTTGGCTTTGTCTGCTTTTCTTCTCCTGAAGAGGCAACCAAAGCAGTCACTGAGATGAATGGACGCATTGTGGGCTCTAAGCCACTGTATGTTGCCCTGGCCCAGAGGAAGGAAGAGAGAAAAGCTCACCTGACCAACCAGTATATGCAACGGGTGGCAGGAATGAGAGCACTCCCTGCCAATGCCATCTTAAATCAGTTTCAGCCTGCAGCTGGTGGCTACTTTGTGCCAGCAGTTCCACAGGTGGGTCTGCTGGATGCTCATGGCTCTTTGAACCCTGTCCACTGATAGCCACTTCTGGAGGGTGCAGTGCTAGGGGAGAATGATTTTTGGATATTGGGGTTTAGAACTTTAGCGGGGGAGGGGGAACCTCTTCAAATAAAATAAGGACTTTTTCATGGGGTCATTGTTTATCTCTCTACACATACTTTGGCAGAGGCAGAATGAGACAACCCCCTGTAATTGACCCTTCAGCTTTTGTATAGAGAGAGCTGTATTCTGAATAAATAGCCTGAGGCCTGGTAGTGAGATGAGATGCTGCTCTAGTGTGGATTCAGATCATTATAATAAAAGGGTTGGATGCTGTTCTTTATTACAGGCTCAGGGAAGACCTCCATATTACACACCTAACCAACTAGCACAGATGAGGCCTAATCCACGTTGGCAGCAAGGTGGGAGACCTCAAGGTAGGTGGGGGGGTAATGACTTCTTCACCCAGGATAGAGCTATCCTGGTTTCCCCTGCCTTTCCTACTTGTACCCTCCCAGGAAAAGGTCTTGAAAAGAAAATGCTTAGGTCCTACCCTCAGGCGCTTGTCAGTGATGCACAGTTTTTTTGGGGTCTTTTTTCACCAGGCTTCCAAGGAATGCCAAGTGCTATACGCCAGTCTGGGCCTCGTCCAACTCTTCGCCATCTGGCTCCAACTGGTAATGCTCCGGCCTCTCGCGGCCTCCCTACTACCAGTCAGAGAGTCGGTGAGCAAACTGGCCTTGAGAAGCATTGCCCGGGGTGGAGGGAGTTAGGACGACTAGGCCCAGCCTGGTCATAGTGTCTTTTGAGTCCTGGTTCTATTTCAGTTGTGTGCTTAGGTAGGTACTTCACACGCAGAGAAGTTCTAGGAGTGTTGCTTTTTAACATTTCTGTGCTTATCGGTGACTCGTGAAAAAGATGGATTGTAGAGGTTTGCTAGCTGGCTGACGACGGAGGCAGACTGTTCTTTCAGGTGGTATATACGTACTGTGTTTTCTGAGAGGTGGAAAGAGTTGTATGTTTTTGGTGGCTTTTCAAAGTAGCAGTAGTGGTCCTGTGTGTGATGTGTTGTGTGAACATGCTTTGGTGCTTCTTCCGTGGGACGTGGCCAGTTGGACATCTGCTGCCAACACTGATGTGCATTTGCTGGTCTGTTGTAGGGTCTGAGTGCCCGGACCGCTTGGCTATGGACTTTGGTGGGGCTGGTGCCGCCCAGCAAGGGCTGACTGACAGCTGCCAGTCTGGAGGTGGTATTGGATGCACACAGATGGGGAAAGATGGGATTTTACGGGTCTTTGCCCAGATTGATGGGCTTTAATTTTATTTTCTTTCCCCCCAAGGTGTTCCCACAGCTGTGCAGAACTTAGCACCTCGGGCCGCTGTTGCTGCTGCTGCTCCTCGGGCTGTGACACCATACAAATACGCCTCCAGTGTCCGCAGCCCTCATCCTGCGATACAGCCTCTGCAGGTGAGGTCCACCATGCAATGCTACCAGGACTTTTTTCCTACTTCCACTTAACTTGAACGATGCTTTGCTTTGATTCCTTCAGCAGGTATTGGGTCCTACTGTGTGTCAGGACACTGCCCTGTGTGGTGAATGCAAACACTGTCTATGTGAGAAGGGGCTTGAAAAAGTAAACACAGATATAAATACAAATTATTCTAAATGTTCATATGTTTCCTGCCCTCCTTTTATTTTAAAGCTATATAAATAGTTCAGCTCTGAGCTTCCAGGTCAAGTTTACACCCATTGGCCTATTTGATTCTTAGCTACCCTGCAAAATGACAGGTACATGAAGGCAGGAAAGAATTCCATCTTACAAATGAGAAGGTCAGCTTCAGATCTTAGATTTTCTAAGCTGAGACTTGGAGCCTCTAGAGCAGTGCCCTTAAAGGCGAGCCAAGCAGCAGCTGGTGTCTCAGGACTCAGTAGAAGATTGCTGTGGAGGAGCCATGTTCAGCCTTCAGGACCTTCAGCTGCTTGGATTTTCTCTCTCTCTTTCTGCCCCCATGCATTCTAAGTTTGCGATTTCCCAGAGCTAGGTGCTATGTAACAGTATCTTGCTTATAAGGCCCTACTTGAGGGCTATGATTGGCATTGACCTTCCATGTTGATGAAATAGTAAGAAGGCTTCCCATTCTTTAGGAACCTTGGGTAAATTAAGTGAAACAACATGAGAGTCCTTGTTCTTTTCATCTTCTCTTATAATGGCATACTATTTTGGTTACAGTTGGTTGTGTTATTTTTATACTACTTTATTCTTCACCCTTAATTTCTAAGGACTGAAATAAGTTCCTTGAGAGCAAAGAGTGCCACACACAGGCATATCTCGTTTTATTGTGCTTTGCAGATACTGCGTTTCCTACAGACTGAAGGTTTGTGGCAACCCTGTGTGAAGCAAGTCTATCAGTGCCATTTTTCCAATAGCATGTGCTCACTTGCTGTCTCTGTTATGTTTTTGTAATTCTCACAGTATTTCAAATTTTTTCATAATGGTATTATATACTTAATAGACTACAGTATAGTATAAACATAACTTTCATATGCACTAGGAAACCAAAACATTTCTGTGACTTGCTTTACTGTGGTATTGACCTTTTTTGTGGTAGTCTGGAACTGAACCTGCAATACCTCTGAGATCTGCCTGTAGTAGCCATTTAGATGTTGCATGGTTGGACTGTCCTGACCTCCAACCATTGTGAAGAGTGTCTTCTCCTTTATTGCTAACCTGCTGCCCCTCTTTTTTCTAGGCCCCACAGCCTGCAGTCCATGTGCAGGGGCAGGAGCCTCTGACAGCCTCCATGCTGGCTGCAGCACCCCCCCAGGAGCAGAAGCAGATGCTGGGTGAGTGACATGTGGACTTGTAGAAGAGGGGCCTAAGCCTAGTACAGCATCTGCTCCTTGCTGTGATGAGATCTGATTTTTCTAAATATCCTTCCCATAGGAGAACGTTTGTTCCCGCTCATTCAAACAATGCATTCAAACCTAGCTGGAAAGATCACGGGGATGCTGCTGGAGATCGACAACTCTGAACTGCTGCACATGCTAGAGTCTCCCGAGTCTCTCCGCTCCAAGGTGAGCTGCTGCTCAGGTTTAGGGGCTTTAGCTGGCTCAGCTCAGGAGGATGAGAGACACCCAGGGGCGGCAGAGAGGAATTTTCTGCCCCCTTGACCCTCTCCTCACGCCTTGTGATTCAGGGCTGCCTCCTGTGGGTATTTGGGAAAGCATCAGCACCAGGAGAAGCTGGGTGATCATTTTGTGGTCAGTCTTGTCTGTTACTGGCCTGGGTACCAGGAAGGGCCAGGGGCTCTCTTCAGCTGCCCACTGACCCACTGGTGATTTCTTATAGGTGGATGAAGCTGTGGCGGTTCTACAGGCTCATCATGCCAAGAAAGAAGCTGCCCAGAAGGTGGGCGCTGTTGCTGCTGCTACCTCTTAGACAAGGAAAAACCGTATGTTTGGCTATTTTCACTTCCTGGAATGGTTTTGATTTGTGACTATCCTTGTAAAAGAGTTAGGGATGTTATTATATATGAGCTCTGGTGGCATAGTGCCCACCAGCCACTCCTCAGAAGGAAGACTAGGCAACCTACTTCTGTCTTAGAAACCGAAGGAAGGGTTGCTATGATTCGGAATTGACCTGACAACAGCTGTATAAAAGAGTAAAAGAGGAGCATAGGCCATAAATCACCTGGCCACATCCTGCCCTTGTTGGTCTGGAATAGTGTATTTATTTAAATTTATCCAAATCCCAAAGCCTCAGTTCAGTGAGCATTATCTTCCTGGGGTTTGCCTGAGTTTGACGAGGACTGCTTAGTTCTGGCAACACAAAGGGCACAGGCCTTGACATCAAGGATCCTGATCTAGTTGGAGAGACAGACACACACCTGACTACAGTTAACAGGGTGTGTTCCAATCTGAACTTGTGGATTTGGGGGGCTGCAGCCTCTGCTTTGGGGGCTTGGGTGAGTAAAGCTTAACAAGGACTGCTAGGTGCCTCCAAGTGGAAAAAGGAAACCAAATGAACAGAGGCAAAGACAAAACATGTGAGGGGAGGGCCAGAGCTGATGGTAGAGGTGGGCCTGACTTGGCTTAAGCATAGCCATCTTATCAGAATAGCATCTTATCATTAGAAACATAAGTGAGAGAACCATAAGTCTTTGATACAGGATGGCAAGGGGATGGGTGGGGCTAACTTGTAAATCAGGGGTTCTCAACTCCGGGTGATTTGGCCCACCCCCTAGTGGACACAGCAATGTCTGGACACTTGAAGCTGGGGACATGCTACTGGTATCTAGTGGGTATAGGTCAGGGATGCTGCCGTAGGATGCAACACACAGGACAGCCCTCCACAACAAAGCGTTATTGAGCCTAAAATATATTAGTAGCACTGAGGTTGAGACACTTGGTTTCGGGATATCTTATTATTGGTCAGAGATTTCAGTGAATTGTATTTATGTTGGTGCTTTTCATTTCAGGATTCAAAAGCCAAATAACCCTTCCTGGATTTCAGCTCAAGTTTGAAGACTTCCTAGCTTGTCCTATGGACCTCAACATCAAGAACCACAAATTGGAAATTTAATAGGTCATTTTGTATCAAAAGGTCAATTATGAAACACCTAGAGTTTTTCAATTATACGAATATATTCTCTGGGTTCTGCTGTAGCCCAGACAATATTAACTTTTTTTTCTATGGTGGGTTTTGATTTTTTCCCCCTCAGAAATTGGTTTTATTTGATGTATCCAAGTCTTAAGTTTCTCAATAAAGAAAAAACCTCCATAAAACCATCTCTGTCTTCCCTATGTTATGCCAACCATACAGTTCACAGTAGAAATTTTAGAAATGTGAATAGGAACAAATAAACTTCTCTGTAGTTTATTATCCTTTACTGGCTCTTAATAAACAAAAAACCACACCAAACTCACTGCCATCGAGTCAATTCCAACTCAAAGTGACCCCCTTTGGGTTTCTGAGGTGGTAAATCTT